TCTTGGACAGCATATTATCAATAAATACTTTTAAGGAGCTTCGTGAAGCATTTTTACATCCAAAATATAGATCACTAGAGATTGTTTTAAAATATACTGTGAGATGTACTTTCACAAGAGGATTAAGCTGTCACTGTAAAAAATTTTGTCTAAATTAAACATTCCTTTAAAGTAGCAAATGAAAACATCTCCACAGATGAGCCTATCCACGTCTTGAAACCGTACCAACCTGTCCATCGCAAGTTGAGTAACTAATGCAGTCATCTTAGTTCACTTTTTGTACAATTAATCCAAATGCACAGAAGCAGAACTTGATTGGCATTTTTTTTTAATTTCAAGCTAGTGTAGAGGGCATTAAATAAGCCGTAAGATTAATTTTTTTTAGAATCAAAAAGACATTTCTCCTTTGTAAATAAAATCATGCATCCCGTATTACGCTTTACCTACAGATATGTTTGCAAGAAGAGCTTACAAGCAAACTGAAGGATGCTCTAAATGCAGCTTCCGCAATTACACTGCTGTGCATCACGGGTGGAAAAGACAGGACCAGTTGCCACCCACTCCACGTGTGTCACCACGCACGACGTGCCAGAACTGCAGCCAGCCCGTGGGTTTGTGTGGGCTCACAGGGCAGCCCCTTCCACCAGGCTATTCAAAAAAATTGCCTAGTTGAGTTGTGGGAACAGAACTGGAAAACCTTCCATTTGAGAGAGAAAGAATGTGCTTAGTAGGAAGAAATCATCAACACCTTTTCCAGTAGATGAGAATATTTCAAAATGTCATAGTCCACTGAAGTCTCCTCCTGCACTAAGCCACAACCTTAACAAAAACAACCAATACCAGAAATGTGGATCTTCTAGAAGAATGTTATAGTTTGGTTCATCCTATAGCAGAACAAGCAGCTCCACTTCCATCACTTTGCTGTATCTTTGTAAAACTCCTTGAACTACAACATGCAGTAAGCAGCACCTCCCTCTTTCTAAGTTGTAACATTCCAGAATCCAAACCTCTGTTTTCATATTGACTAAGTTATTAGCACAGAAATGTTAGCTCACCTGTTTTTTGGCAAGAAAAATATAGTTTGTCAAAATGCACCACCAATTAATAGAAACTTAACCACACAGGCTACGCTAGTTCCAATGTAGTATCTGACATGTACTTATTGAAACACAACAGATGCCTTTCCTGAAATACAATAAGACAAATAGTACGTTGGACTACTGTTGCAGAGTACCTACATTCATTACATATGAAGAGGAAGAAAATGTTTCTACATTGCTTCACATCCAAAGAAATAATGGGACATGTTATCAGAGAGGAGCAGTAGGCATACTGCCTCTGGAGCAGGCAGTATGGCAGTGGATCAAAAGTGGCCATAAGCTGGGGACAAACCTTGTCCACAGACATGTTTTAAAATACTGCACTTCTACACACAGCATAATTTTCTTCACAATAATGATGAAAGACAAGCAACACATGCTTTGAAATAAAGCTAGACTCTTAGAAATTCTCCACGTCTTCTCTTAACCCGTTTACATCACCATAGACAAAAAATTGACAAGATTTGAAAACCCTGGTTTTGTAATTGCATGATGATTTCTGAGAGCTTTTGTCTTGCAAACTCTACCCAAAAATTAGTCCAGGCATGAGGCTACTTTCTTTAACCCAGCAAGTAGTCCTGTTGCCCTACAGTGTGAAATTGCTCATGGAAGTCAGATGGCAGGATGCAGACCACTTAATGGGAGAAAGGACAGGGAACCAGTCGCTGCAAATGCCCTTATGCGCCACCATACAAAGATAAACCAAAGCACTCAGTCACCATAAGGCAAACAGAAAACAATAAAATCGCTGCCAAGCTCAAGTTTTTAAGGCAGGACACAGCGACAGATAAAGGATACTATTTTAGGAGACTCTAGCTTATCTATACTCTGTTCCCTGTTAGCCAACATCGTCTTCCCATCCTACCCACACACACAAACCAACCTGCTCTGTGCCCCGCTGACTGAGCACCATTCCTAGTTGTGCTTCCACCTTAAAACTGGCGCAGCTTAAGGGTACAGGACCCTGCTTGCTCTGCAGCAACTATTAGTAGAGCAAACACTTGGACACACCTTCGCAAACTCTGCATCGACCTCCAGTATTTTCAAAATCCCTGGTATAGCCGGTACAGATAAGCAAAGTCAGAACTGTAGCCAGCAAGCTGAAAGTTTATCCAGCTCTTCTCATAAACATGCAAAGCAAATGCACTGAAAATAGTTCATCTCTCTTGCCTCCCTTGATGTTTAGAATGACTATGCACCTAATAAAAAGTGATCTTGCAACAGAAACACATTATGAGCTAATAATACCTATTTCTATGTTGCCTATTCATTTCTTATTTTCAAATTGATCCATGAGCTTTGCAGATAGACTTAATGAATTAAAACTTTTCTTAACAAGCATGTGTGTTAGAAAAGCCATTCACAGCATGAATCCAGAGATAGGAAGGTCACTTACCAGTCAACTAAGCATTGTTACGAATAGTCAGTGTACTAGTACTTGCTTTTTATTAATATTGTACACCTTCAGCTTGCTAAACCCATGGCTCAGGATTAGTTTGAAAATTTAGAAAGCATATCCAAATGGTAAGCTACTGCCCTGGTTTGAGGTACGCTAAAATGTAAAATAAGTTATACTAAAAAATTTTAAAGTAAAACAAAAAATAATTATACTATATAACTTCAGAGAAAGTGACTGAAAACAGATAGTTTGACTAGCACCACAAGCAAGCATATCATTCCCAATATGCAATACTTAAAATACCATCCCAAAGGCTGAGGTCACATCACACTAACAGCACTAATTTACAGAGGCAGGAAAACCTAGAATAATTTTGTCAAAAGTTTTAACTTTATTTGTAAACTAGAAAGATGCTCCCATTTACAAGGCACACATCACCAGCACTCTTTTAGAAGCTTCTGTACAGCAGAAAACATGCTAGGTAATTCATATACGGATCCCTCTCGGCAGCCCAATGGCTCATCTTTCACACTGTGATTTCAGGGGCCTGAAATTTCTTCAGCATCTATTTTTTGCTCGTTGCTGTAGTTTTAGGAGGCTTAGCAAAGCCCAGAAGTGAATGGAGTTTTTGCCATCTGAGCTTACGCTCTGCTGGTTGGGAGCGGCTGCAATGTTCTCCTACAATCCAAGTCATGTGCAATCACAGTATGACATGTCCCCTCCCAGGCTATATAAACTGGCATCTTTCCCAGCAGTTGCCACATCATGAAAATGATGCATACAAATAAAACCCCAAAATAAACACTTTAAAACAATGGCTTAAATGGCTGCATAACTAAACTCAGCAGCTGCAGACACAAAGCGTTCCCAGCAGCAAACTATACATCTTTCACTTGCAAAAGTCCCAAAATGCATTATTGTTAGCAAGCTCCACATCACACCTAGCAACTAACCCCCTAGTCTGGGTGGCAGAGTCATGTTCCCTCACGCCAAACAACAAGGAGTAAATAAGTAAAACATGGATAATAAAAGCAGAGACCATCACGAACACTCCCAATGCAGACAGAGCTTCAAAGTATTAAATGTACTTTCTACCACTGATATCAATACATCACCTAATTCACTGAAAACAGATAATGCTATCTCATCTATTTAGACTACTCAGACCTGTTCTCAGGTGTTTTGCTGCCAAACTATTTAGACCGACCTAAAGTAAAGTTTTTCTGTACAACAAATAGGAGAAAACAGGAGGAAAACTCCACAGTGCAACCTGGGCAATGTAATTCATTGGAAATACTGCAGTATTGCATATGATCCACTTAAAACGGTGTAGTACTGAACTGGTTTACAGTACATTTAAAAATTCATTGATTCTATGATAATAAAAGGAAAGTAATAGCTTATACTTTAGAAGCTAATCTCAGCAGTTAATATACTGCAATTCTTACCCTCAATTGCTTAAGGGAAGGAAAAAAATCTAGAAGAAACACAATAATTAATGTAAAAGAGTCACAGCTTGGGATCTTCAAACTGAGAAACACTAAATCATACTGCATGTTTTTATCTTACCGCAAAAAAGCTTTTTTTTATCTCGACACTGAAAAATTTCTGTTTTTTCGCTCACTGAACGTTTAATTTTCCCCACCTAGCTCTAAACAGACAGGATTTATGATGATATTGTTCTAAGGCACTGGAGGAGTTCTAGATGCCAATAAAGATTACAGATCAAATGAAAGATAACTACCAACCATTGTGTCCGTATAGATAAATAAACCTGATCACTTAATTTATTTGTACTGTTACCTGTACTAATCCAGCTACAATGATCAGGATAGCGAATGCTCAGAAATCAGATCTGAAAACAAAAGGTTTCTTACACCTCTCCCGGCCCAACTTATGTGGGTATAGATGCACCACACATACACACCTTTCCAGAAGTTTTCATGTACTTAGGAAAGGCTGAAGCCCTGGTGATGAACTAGAGAATTAAGGCAAATGCAAAGTGCTGGGGGAGTCCAAAGGCAAGTACCAAACTCGTAGCAGGAACACGTTTCCAGGCATCCCCGTCCCGGTCATTTAGCACATTAAGAGAAAGCAAGACCAGCCAAAAGCCAGCCACACGTGGGCAACCACCTCCGGTGCAGACCCACGCCACGACAGAAGCCAGCCCCGTGTCACCGACAAAACGAGAGGCTTGGAGACCCCGACCCCCCAGCCGCGAGTGGAGATCCCGCGGCGGCAAGTGCGGGAGAGGGGATGCGGCAGAAAGGAGCCCCCCCCCCGCGACCCCAGGCAGCCCCGAGGCGGGCGGGAGAAGGGCCACCGGCAGCCCACCACCGCACCGACGGCCGCTTTTGTTCTCCGCGGAGACCGGCGCATCCCCGTCAGCTGCGCCCGCTCCCCCGCGGCCGGGGAAAAGACCCCGCTACCGGTCCCCCGGCAGCGGCGGCGGGGCCAGGACGCCGGTGCCGTCGGGGCGACCCGCGGCGGGCGCTGCCTACCTCTCTTGGGCCGGGGGAAGCTCTCGTGCAGGTGAAAGACGACTTTCTCCACGAAGTGCTGGATGTTGCTGTGCTCGGGCCCTCTGACAAACACCATCCAGTCGTGGGTGAAGCCCTCCACGGTGGGTTTCTTCCTGACCTGGGCTCGGTGCCCCAGCTCCAGCTTCACCTGGACGGCGCACTGCGGGGGTCGGGGGGAGAGACGGGGAGCACCCGGTGAGCGCCCGAGGAAGCGGGACCGGGCGGTGGGTCTAGGGGAACAGCGGCCCCACCGCCAGGGTAAGGAGCGGGGAACGGACATGGACAAAACGGCACCGGACGCCCCGGAGAGAGGAACAAAACCGGGGAGGCACCGCTGCGACTCCGCAACAAAAAAAAAAAAGGCAGGCGAGGGCGAAAGAGAGCGCCCGCTGCTACCGGGAGGGATGCGGGGAGGCGCGGCCGCCGGCCCGCGGTGCCATCCGGCGGCGCCCGCTGTCAGGGGGAGGCACCGTCCCCGCTCCCGGTGCCCCCGGCGCGGCGGCAGGGACACGGGTACCCGCCGCCCTCCCTCCAGCTGCCTGCGCGGCAGGGAAAGAGAAATGCCCCGGCGGAGAGCGGCCGGCGGTACTCACCGAGCTGGCCATGCCTGGGGGCGCCGGTTCCGCCGGGGCGCTCGCTCGCTCCCTCCCTCCCGTCCCCCGCCCCCC